CATAAATAATGTTGCCATGTTTCTAAGGCCCTCTTTAGAGCATAAAGCTCTTTGTCATAGGTGGAATAATTCAAAGCTGCGCCGTGAAGCTTTTCACTGAAGTAAGCTATGGGCTTAGAATCCTGCATTAAAACAGCACCTATACCAATACCAGAAGCATCACATTGAATTTCAAATGCTTTAGAGAAATTAGGCAAAACAAGTAAAGGGGCATTAGTCAATTTATCCTTTAGGGTTTGGAAGGCCCTTTCTTGTGTTTTATCCCATTTAAAGGTCGCATTCTTCTTAACAAGTTCATTAAGAGGGGCAGCAATGCTAGAGAAATCCCTAACAAATCTCCTATAGAAGCTTGCTAAGCCATGGAAGCTTCTCACTTCACTTGCATTCTTAGGGGTTGGCCATTCACGAATAGCCTTAACTTTCTCCTCATCTACACGAATTCCCTGTGATCCAACAACAAATCCCAAAAAGATAACAGAGTCCATACAAAAGAAACACTTTTGAAAATTAGCATATAATTTATATTCCCTCAAGATGTCAAACACATTTTTAAGATGATTCATATGATCAGTCAAAGATTTACTATAAATCAAAATATCATCAAAGTAAACCACAACAAACTTGCCTATAAACTTTCTAAAAACATGATTCATTAATGCCATAAAAGTGCTAGGAGCATTAGTCAAACCAAAAGGCATAACTAACCATTCGTATAATCCAAATTTAGTTTTAAAGGCAGTTTTCCATTCATCACCCTCTTTCATACGAATTTGATGATAACCACTTCTAAGATCAATTTTAGAAAAGATAGAAGCACCATGTAATTCATCAAGCATATCATCAAGTCTAGGGATAGGGTAACGATACTTTACAGTGATTTTGTTGATTGCTCTACAATCAACACACATCCTCCAAGATCCGTCTTTTTTTGGCACCAAGATACAGGGACAGCACAAGGGCTAAGGCTCTCACGCACAAAGCCTTTCATCATCAATTCCTCTACTTGGCGCTGGATCTCCTTAGTCTCTTCAGGGTTAGCCCTATAAGCAGGCTTGTTTGGAATAGCAGCTCCAGGCAAGAAATCTATCCTATGCTCAATTCCTCTTAAGGGAGGAAGTCCATCAGGAATTTCATCAGGGAATAGATCTCTATAATCCTGCAACAAAGAGACAACACTAGAAGGCAAAGTGGGGTCAAAAGTATTAGTAGAAAAATAAATATTCTTGGGAATTACAATAAGAGCTTGCTCACTCATCAAAGCCTCTTGAATCTTACTTTTCCCACACAATAATATTTTTTTTCACTATTTTCCTTCACTCCCACCATTCTATTTTTTTCTTTTCTCACCTTCTCACCACTCTTTTTCCTCTCTTTTGATTGATTTTCAAGTAAAGTAATACTCTCTTTCTTTTTCTCTCACTCATGCCACAATCAAGGAGATCTCTCCTTTGCTTGTAATCTTGAGTAATCTTTAGTTGATCTTCATAGGCTTGGATGGGCCTAAGAGGATTTAATACAACAGTCTTGCCTTTAAAAGGCACCTTGTAACAATTTCTAAAACCATCATGAGTAGCCTTACTATCAAACTGCCAAGGCCTACCTAATAACAAGTGTCCAGCAAGCATAGGGGCTACATCACATAATACATCACAAGTATAAACTCCAACAGAGAAAGTAATCAACACTTGCTTAGAAACCCTAATTTCAGCAGAATCATTCAACCATTGCAATTTGTAGGGCTTAGGTGTGGAATTAAAGGTAAAGATAATTTATCTACAAGTAAAGTGCTAGCGACGTTAGTGCAACTACCACCATCAATTACCATGCTACACACTTTCTCTTTGATGAAGCATCTAGTGTGAAAAATATGCTCGCGTTGCTCATGTTCATCATCCTCCTTTGGTTGAATATTGAGAGCTCTTCTTGCCACCAAGATAGAGTCAACTACACCATTGCATTCAAGCTCATCATTTGATTCATGGGAGGTAGAATCATCATCAACATTATCAGCATCATCTTTATCACTTTCATGCACACTATCATAGCCACCATCATCTCTCAAGATCATAACCCTTTTATTGCTACAATCTCTCGCCATGTGGCCCACACCATGACATTTGAAACACTTAATAGGAGAAGTGTTAGATGAATAAGAAGAAGGTTTAGGGTTAGAAGTTTTACCCTCATACTTGGTCTTTATTTCTTCCTTGGCCTGGGATGTATCTTTGGCTTTGGAATCCTTCCATTTAGGAGTTGTCTTGGAGTCTTTCCAAGAGGACTTGGAACGTTTGTTCTTATTTCTCTGCTCCAACTTTATAGCCTTGTGTATGAGCTCTTCCTTGTCCACAAAAGTGTACAAGTCAAGCTTATCTCTCAACTCTGGCCTCAAGCCATCCATAATTCTTGACATTGCTTCACGTTCATTTTCTTGAATGTTTGCACGAAACTTCAAGATATTCAACTCATGCACATACTCCTCCACTGTCATAGATCCTTGAGAAAACATTCTCAATTTTCTATTCAGCTCTGTATAGTAGTAGCTGGGGACATAAGCCTTTCTCAAGTACCTTTTAAGCTTCTCCCACGTTTTAATAGGCTTTTTCCCAAGTTGGCTTCTTTTGTACTGTAAATCTTGCCACCAATAAACAGCATAGTCAGTGAAATTCAAAGAAGCAGTTTTTACCTTCCTTGACTCAGACAAATCAAGAGTCATGAAGATTTGGTCCATCTTCATTTCCCAATCAAGGTATTTTTCTGGATTGTTACTACCCTTGAATGAAGGATACTTTACTTTTTGGTCCGGTAAGTCAACACCACGCTTTGAGGATTTCTTTCCCTTAGGAGAAGGGGGTTCTTCATACTCCTCATCATCGCTGGGGATCTTATGCTTCTTTCCTTTAGAAGAGGAAGTCTCCGGCTCATCTTTATCCTCTTTATGGAACCTATGATCAAGTTCCAAGCGAAACTGCTGCAACTGTGTTTTGATAAGTTCTAAAACAGAGTTCATATCAATACTAGGGGATTCATCCTTGTTACTCATGTTCACAGAAGCACTAGAAACCATATAAGATAAAAATAGGTCCTCACACACACAAACTCACGTGTTTACTCTCAAGATAAAGTCACTCGTGATTCACAAAAAAAAAAGTAATGGCTTTCTTTTTTTTTTTAATAATGAAAAACACACTTGCCTTTTACCACTCACTAAGCTTGTGGATAGAATCCAATGGTGAAACCCACAAATCAAGAAACTAAGGAACAATCAAGTGAATATCTTCTAAATTAAGGAAACTAGAAAACAAGCACAAGGTGAAAAGAGGATTTTTTTTTTTGCAATTTTGAAACAAATAGGAAAGCAAAATTTTCAAATAAAATTAAGCTTGTTAAAGGAAAAACCACACGTGACAACAAAAAATAAGAAAGAAAGAAATAAAAGTCAAAGAGTCAAATACTCAAAGACAAAAATAAAAAAAACTAAATAAAATAAGAGAGTAGCACAAATAGCAAATAAGAGAGTAGAGAATTTGAAAAGTGCTACCAAAAATAAAAAATAAGAAAGTGATCAACGTAAAAGACTTTCTTATCACCCAAGTTGACTTTTCTCTTTAAGTAACCTCTTGGTGACTTGGAGTTCAAGAATAGCCTTTTTCTACAGTCATAACTCACAGCAATATATTTTTTTGTAAATTTTTTTTTTGAATTTTCGGATTTTTTTTTCTCTTTTTTTTTCTCAACACACTAACACTTTTTTTTTGCCTTTTTTTTTTTGCACGAATTTCTAGGTATTTTTTTTCTTTTTTTTTTAGAAGGCTAATAAAATGAAAACTCACATAAGATAAAAAGTCACAAAGATGAAGAAGAGAAAAACCAAAAGATAGAAGTAGATGGGGTAGATAAGAGATGATCACAAAAAAAAATAACTCAAGATGAAAAAGAAGAAGGAAGGACAAGAATTTAAACCAAAACTAGCAACCAAAGCTCTGATGCCAATCTGATAGGGACGCGGAAGCAGAATCGTGCTAGTTTAGGGACAGAACCCTGAAACAATAAAAACACAAGAACAAAAAAAAGAAAGGGACGAAATTTATGACGGAAATAAAGAAAGGTATGAAGTAAACAATAGGATAATGATCAAGGAGAAGATCCTCTAGAGCACCTGCCTCTAGGAACCTCAACCTTCGAAGACACCACAAGAGTTGATCACGCTCTTGATCACGTCGGTTTCTCACACGGGATACCACCACAAAGCACTAAGGCTCACAAGAGTTATAAACTCTAAAATGAATAATTTCATTCAACTTCTGTGTTGTTTACAATAGGGAGCATGCCTAATTTATATAGGCTTATAGAAAAATATTTCCTAAAATTAAAACCCTAATTTCCTAATACTAAAAGGAGAAATAATGATAAAATATTTAGCCACATAATTTAGGAGATGTGATCCTAAAATTATGGGATTACAAAATTTAGAAATTAATATTATAATTAATTCTAACCTTTGACTAGACTCAAAATAGAAAATCAAATCAAAGGACCATTAAAATAGGAAATAATTTAGGAGACAATCAAGGGATCATAAAGGATTTGAAATCACGCCACTCTTGACTTCTTTACTAGGGTTTCATGTCTCCTTGCATGCAAGAGGCTCAACTTGTAGTCTTCCTTGCATTGGGCTAAGGTCTGCATCTCTTGGGCTTGACTCTTCATGAGTTTGGATCTTAAATACATTATACACATATAGATGCTCTCCTTTGGACTTGAGGGGAGTGCCCCAATGCTCTCCAAGCTCTTGAACTTCTTGCACAAGACTGAACAAGGCTTGCTTCATAGCTTTGGTTCGGGCTCTTGTCATTGGACCTCCAATATGTTGCAATGGGTCTTTAGGTACGTTGGATTGGAAGTATTGGGCTCCTTCTATGTCACCATGCTCATGATTACCATCCTCAGGCTTCGTTGCCATTAATGTTATGTCACCTGTGCCATGGGGCCCATCAGAGCTAGTCTTGTCGATCATGGCCTTCCTTGTGGCAGCAACATTGGACGGTTGAATCACCGGCAAGACAACCTCTGTTCGGGGATCTCCATGTTTTGTGTTGGTCCATGAGTCATCTATGTTCACTGAGAAGTCAGCTACCTCCTTTGCTTGCATGTTTTGCTTCTTCTTCTTCCAAATTTCTTTCACACTGTCCCATTCTACAGATATTCACACATTTAATTTTCTTATAATTACTTTTTTACCAACAGTTTTCTTGTAAATAATTAGTACTCCCTATTTTTAGTATTTAATTTAATGTGTAATTGATGTGTTTTTTATACAAATGCCCTTAATTAATAAATAATTAATATTTATTTTTAAGTGAAACACCCTATTAAATAGGAATAAATATGTAAAGATAGTATTAATTTAAAAATAATTAATTTATTTATTAGAAATAAAATTTAATTAAAAATGTCTTGTATTTTTTAAGAGAGAGAGTAAGTATTAGGTGCATCTTATATTAAGCAAAGAAAAGTAGTTCCGATTCTTTATTTGGTCCTTGGACTTGTCATCAATTATTAATCTAATTTCTGAACTTTGATTTGAAATAACTGAATTGTCTTTATAGTTTTCTAACTTGATACAACTCAATTCTTATAGTTTTTTTAAATCAATTATAAATTACAAAAATTAAATTATATTGAGTCAAAATTTAAGGACTAAATTGATTGATAACTAAGAAAATTTAAGGATCGACTAAATTATATTATTCCTAATAATTATATCAAGAAAAATATTTGAATTACATCTAGAACTATGTAATGACACCAGAATAGAACACTTTTAAACTATCTTTATAAATATTAAGAAAAATAGTTAAAAGTGATCTGTGTCACTAAAATAATAAAAAGTTATCTCTACTTTCCAATACTTCTAGTTAAAATCAATCCATCTTAGTTACCTGTGTTTAGTTTGGATGGAGAGAAAAATAAGAGGAAAATTAAAAAAGAATGGTTTGAGGGAAAACTAACAAAAATAGTAAATTTTTATATTTTTGCTACTGTCTTCTCTAGTATTATTTTCTTCTTATTTTTTTCTCCATTCAAACCAAAGGCTAATTTTTTTTCTTATATAATCTCTCTCGACAATGTAATTAATAATAGAACTTGTCAAAAAAAGAATTTAATGCTATTGATTTTTAACAAAGTGTCCTATATTTTGAACAACAGTAGCTGATTGTCTTTTTTACAAATTTAAGAGTATCAACTAACGTTTCTTAAAATCTATAAAATTAGTTAATTGGAGTAGTTACCTCCCTGTTTTGAAGGTCAATAAAAAAAATTACCTACCTGTTTGACTTTCAACTATTATTATTTTTTAATATATACAGTAAAAATTGCAAAAGTGAAACGTGATGCTCACCTTTGGCCACAAGTTTCCAGAAAGCATAATAGATCTTGGAAGAAACTGCAACATATATAGGAGACTTAATTAATATGAAGAAGTTCGTGTTTTGTTGATGATAAGTGATAATTAATTAAGCATAATAAACTACAGAAAACAGATTGTATTGACGAGTACTAGGCACGTACCTGGAGATGGTGAGATGGGTTTGTTGAACTTGTTTTTCCCACTTTCTAAATCTTCCTTAATATTATTCCCCCTCGTAAACCCATCTTCATCATCATCCTCATCTTCGTCATCGTAACCTTTGTTGGGAAGACCTGTTCACCCAAAGACTCTAGCTATAACTAGCCAAAAAAAAAAAAAAAACCAAGAAGAAGAAGAAGTTAAAAGTAGCTACATTTCAAAGATGAAGCGTATTACTAGCTTGTGCATGTTTGTAACAGGGAGAATCGCATCTAAAACCCCTCAAAAAAATTATTTATAGACAGAGATTAATACAAAATAGATTGTTATTAAAATTGGAACATCACTTATTTTTTCTCGAATGAAATAGTTATTATTTATGAATAATTTTTTTGAAAGATCTTTAAATGTGATTCTCCCTTTGTAATAGCTCTCATGAAAAGAACATGGAAAAGGAGTCGGTAAATAAAGCAAAGTCTGTTACATGAAAAAATGTTTTTCTTTATAGAAAGCATTTTTTTTGCTTACTAAATATGTTATGTTACATAGATTTCTTTGATTAGTTGGAAGGAATTTGGCTCATCATCACAAATCAAAATTCAAAGAAAAGAGTGGAAATAAAATTCTGGAGCTGACCAAAACACCCCCAGTCATTTTTTCAATTTTCAGCCACCACCCATCATATTCTTCCACTTTCCAGAGCCCACTCTTAAAATATAAAAGCAGCCCACGCTTAAAGCATATATAATATGCTATCTTTTATATAGTCTACCCAAAAAAAAAGCCTCTTTTATAAAATTAATAAGTATTCATATACTATTGTTGATTTAATTAAGGATACCAAATGTTTCCAAAAAAAAATTTGGATATTTTTATATCTTATATTTGCTTCTTCTTTTTTTGACATCAATGTCAACAGATGTCAAATAAATTTAACAAGATAGAGATTATTGCAATCAGCAAAACAAGTTCATGGACACTTCTACATATATATACCTTTGTTTACTTAAGGATAATGAGTGCTCTTGAAATAAAAATTGTTGATTATTTTTTTTCTTTAACCCTAATTAAGTAATATTTTGATGAAACAAATTAGGGAATGGATGCTAGATCATCTAAAGTCCGGAATTTGTAAATTTCATGAAATTTATTGCCTTTTTAAAGGTTAGACAAATATTTTATATTTTAAGTACCTTATATAAGTGCCTTAACAATGAAAATTGAAATATCAATGCATCATTTTTCTTCAAAAAGAAAAGTGATAAATAAAGGATATATTTAAAAAAACAATTATAAAAATTAGCTAATACTCATATTTTGAATCAAGCAGGATTTTTAAAAGATATCCTATTGTGGTCCAAAAATTTAAAGAAATTCATGAATATCAACTTTAGAAAATTTACTCTCAACATACATTAAGTGATTAAATTTAAACTACGAAATTAGAAGAAAGGTAATAGCATAATTTTGAGAGATAACATATAAAGATAAAGGAGGTTGTGCAGAAATGGCGCCTGGGAATTATAGCTCCTGAAAACAGAAGGCATCCTTGAAAGCAGTTGAAGACAGCTCAATCTATAATCATTCTCTTCACCCTTCTCATCGCTGCATCCCTTGAAACGCTTTATTTCCTCATTCATGATCTCTACGTCTGCGAATGCTACTTTCTCTATGCCTTTCTGTCTCATTAACCACGCTGCTACATCTGCACAAGCATTATATAGGGACAATATATATAATGGCAAAAGTCTCCGATAATAAATTTTTTTATCAAGAAAAGAGATCAAAATATCCATCCATTTGGGTAATTACAAATTTAAAAGATTCAAGTTACAGATCAGACGCATTTAAGTTTCATTTTTGTAAGTACATTCCTGTGTGTAATGATCCATTTTTAAGAAATTTTATTAGAGATCTAATTGTCATTATTTTAATATTTAAAAAAATACAAAGTTTTGAGTTACGATATGTGGCATTCTTCTGCTAATCCTGCTCGTTTCTCAGGCAATCGCTCCTCTCATTCTAAATAAGTGATATCAAAGCTAAATTTCACTTGGAACTTGTAAACCCATTATTTCATCACATACATTTAATTTGAAGCCAAAATTGCACCAGATAGTTTTCGTACCTCACATCATTTGATGCCCATGAAATTAGGCTGGGCGTAAAAAATAAAGACTTAGTGGTGGAGGTATTTTTAATATGGAAAGCTGGCATTGAGAGAGATATTGTTAAGTTATTTAATAAAAGTAAATTTCAAGACTCATTAATTAATTTCTATTAAGAAAATACTACACACAATCAAAAACCAAAGTATATAGATAGATAGATTGATAGATGGATACCAAATTGCCGGCCAATGATAGCGATGTGAAGGATTGAAGTGAGGTCTGAGTATCTATAGAAGTGTTTCTGCATATCATCTACATATCGCTCCATGCGCTTCAAAATCCTGAGCTTGCCGTACTTGGCGGCTCTGTAAACCGGAGTTCGCCGAGGTCGTTCCGCAGCTCCAACAGACTCCCATCGCCGTCCTGTTTCAGCTTCTTTCCGTCTCGTACTCCAACATGGCGTCCACCATTTTCGCTCGCTCGCAGAAAACCACTTGGTGCAGAAGCGTGTTCTTGTGAGCATCACCTTCCCTCAACGCTCGCCGGCGATGATACGAGTCTTCTGGAAGCATGTCCAGAAGCTCCCGGACGAGGCCGGGGTCGTCGGACGATCGAGCCGCAACATGAATCGCGGTGTTTCCGGCCAGATTGAAGGGCCGGATCAGATCCCGGGGATCGCCGGCGGTCTTGAAGAAGTTCTTGAAGGAGACCCAGTCTCTGCGTAAAGCATGTATCTGTGGTTCTTCCATTTTAGGTTCCACTGATGATCTGCTCTCCATTTCCATGGCCTTCCTCCCTCAATCACAACTCGCTGATTAGCTTAAGCTATGTGTCTTTTAATCTCCACGAGTTTATTTGCTGGTGGGTTATTTATATCATTTGGTCTCAGCTATGGCTATGAGATTTAAATGAAAATAAGACAAGTGTCATTTAATTTGTTGTGAGTACGAAGAAGAAGAATAGGTACCGGCTACAAATACGTACCTTCTGCAAGTGACTCCACTTTCACTTCTTGGCACCCCGGCAAGCCCCATGTGTCTCTGACGCTCAAAATTATTCCCCTCCTTATTTTTAGCTTCCTTCTTGACCTCTCCATAATAACATCTCATTCTTTTTTGTTTGTTTTAATAATAACTTCTACTCCTCATAATTTGTATATTTATATTGTATGAAAAATTCCAGCTCTCTCATTTTCTTCTTCTTCTTCAAATTAAAAATTAGGGGGCATTTGTTAAGGAGAATGAAAAAGCTTTATTCTTTTTTGCTGTAAAAAAATTAGATATGTCAATATATATTATAGTTATTGGCATATAAATATATATTACTCCTACCATTTTATTTTGTTGTTTGAGTATTTTCCACATATTAAGCGACTCACTTGTCCATATAACTTTATATAAATTCGTTTAAACAAGAATTCAAATCTTATGAATAGATTTAAAAAAAAAAACCATGTTGAAAGAGTTACTCCTAGCAACTGGATCCCCGGCTGATAACATCCAAAAATGATTTGATAAAATTGGATAGAAAATGATTCTATAAAAATTATGTAAATTTTCACGATGCTTGTAACATCCTGATTTTTATATAATAAAGAAATTGTGGAATTTAGGTTTTGAAAAAAAAAAGATAATAATAGGAATTTATATTATTTGAGGTTATTTAAAAATAATATTATGGTTAGGTATTTAATTATGAATTTAAAAATTTAAATGTAAAACCACATAAGCAATATTTAGTTAAGATATAATACATAAATAATTTTTTTATGTGTGTTAAAAAAAAGAGAAAGTAGAAGGAATAAAAAAAAAGATGGTGAAAGGTTGTTGTTTTTAAGTCCCACATTGATTAGATGAGGGAAGAGAAGAGGTGCCTTCATGTATAAAAAGAAGGGGGTGTGTGCATTAGGAAGCATGAGAGGCTAAGAAGTAATTTAGAAGAAATTGCAATTTTTGGCCTAAAGGTTTGAATAATTAAATTCAAACATATAATTTTTTTTAATATAATTTTGGGACTCACAATCCCATTTTTATATTATTTCTCTCTCTTCCTCTCACGTTACTCGGCGTTTTCTCGCAAGGGGGGATTATTTTCTTTTTCTTCAGGTATGTTCTAGCTTTCCTGTTTAGATTAGCATTTAAAAATTTATTTAATTACAAAATTAATTTTATAGTTATTTTCTAAATAATATTAGCTTTCTAGTGATATGATTATTTTGTAGGATAGAGTAAATATTCTGATTAAGATTTTTCTATAGGATAGTTAATCTGATGATATGATGGAGTAAAAATATAGGTTGAAACTCTTAGGGATATAATAAATATTATAGAATATTTTCTTGAGGTTGAAACTCATGTTTAAGAATTTTTGAGTTAAAATCTAGATCTATATGGTTGAATTTATGCGGAATCTGAGATGTAGGGATGAACCTCTGATTATTAGATATTTATTTAAGTATGAATAGGTATTTTTGAGGTTATAGAAAAGTGATTTGAGGCTTCAGGATAATTTTAAAATTTTTAATTTATTTTTGGATGAATTTTTAGAATATAGAAGGATGAAATTGTGATACTAGAAGTGAATTGAGGATAAAAAAAAATAGTTCATTAGGGTATGAGAATTTTAGAAAAGAATTTGGGAAGTTAAATGAGGCATAAATCTTAAATTAGTGTTAATATGGACTATAGATCTAAGACTTTCTAACTCTTTAAATTAGAGTTATTTATTTTAATGTAAAATTAATATATAGTATTGTGAAATAATTATGTAGATTATATTGACAAAGATAGTGGTGAAAAAGGAGTTGTGAAGGGGAACTTGTTATTCAAGACACAAGGTAAACATTATTAATGTGTTGTGATGGGTGTGTTTGTGAATGGTTATGTGTTGTTTTGTTATTTGAAAAAATTATGAATTATTAAAAATAAATACTGTATATACTTGTTTGAAATTATTGCCAAGTGGGTTAAAAATTTATTTTTGTTTATCATGATGAGATATTATTATTCGGATATATTCCTGTTTGGATATTTGAATGATGCATGACTTGTCAGGGTATTTTAATGTATGGTGTTAATGGGAATTTCTGTTCGGTTAATTATTACCACGTGGTAAGCCCTCATTGGACCCAATGAGTGGCGTGTCGCTTGGTCCAACTCACCTTTGGCCGGGTGATTTGGCGTCCGAGCATGGTGAAAGGAGGATATAAGGTGCAGTTATGCAAATTAAATACTTGTTCGGTTTGTTTGAAAATATTGTTCGGTTAAATGTTTTGTGTGCCCACTTAGCAATCGCATGATTAGTTACAATCGCATGCATCATTACATATTAATTTTTAGTTACTGGGACTTTTAAGTCTCATTCCCCGTGGTTAATATTTTTACAGGAGCGAGTTCGGCCGAGAAAGCACCAGAGGTGTAACTATGGTGTATGAAACACCATCTTTTACGTTGCCTCTTATTTTAGTTTATACAATGTATCTTGTACCAACTTAGGACATATCTTCTTTGTGAAGCATGTAAACTCTAATCCTTTTTATTAAAAGTATTTATTTGACTAAGAGGATTATGTTTGTCTCTCTTGATTCATGACCTAATTTAAATATCATGCCATGAGGATCCTGACTGTCCCTCATGGTTCTAATTGCTTTTTTGAAATATTTTAAAACCTGTGGTATATTGTCTTGAATGTATCATGGTAAGAAAATTTTCTATCATGATAATGGTTTTAATAATTTGTGAAAAATCGGTTTGTATTTTTGAGGGTGTTACAATGCTCTATTTCAACAAATGATAGTATAAAGCAATAATATATATTAAGGTTATTTAATTTGGTCGTTGAAAGATAATCAAATGGAATGAGCTGATAAAATAATACTGAAATAAAATGATGAGAAAATCAATCAACATGTCTTTATAATTTTGCTCAAATTTAACTTAGGTTCTTATTATTTATTTTATTTTAATCAAGCCCTTATAGTTTGATCTATTATATATGCCAACCACTAAAGGTTAAAATTAATAATAAAATATTAAATTTCACAAAACAAAAATACTCTTGAACTCTATAGAAAATTTAATTTAATACTTTTGTCCAAAATAAAAAAAATTGATTTAATACACTGTTTACAACTTAATTATATAAATTTTGAATTATAAAAATTATTTAATTAACTCTAAAGTTATATAATCATTTAATAAAAATATAAACGTTTTAAATATTTTTTAAAGGAAAAATTTTAAGGATGTTAAATTTTCGGGACAAAAAAAATTAAGTGATAAAATTATGGGAGCTTAATTAAAACAAAATAAATTCTAAAAACCTAGTTTAAAATTAAGTGAAATTATAAGGAGTTGCGAATATATTTTCCTTAAAATAATGAAGGTGATATATTGGTATCTAGATTTCATAAGTCTCTCAAATCCTTTCATACAGTGAGTGTCCAGTGTACACATTATAGTCGTAGAAAAACTTAGTTTAGAATTAAGTGAAATTATAAGGAGTTGCAGATATATTTTCCTTAAAATAATAAAGGTGATATATTGGTATCTAGATTTCATAAGTCTCTCAAATCCTTTCATACAGTGAGTGTACAGTGTACACATTATAGTCGTAGAATTTCATAGCACTTAAAAAATCATGTATGATGAAATGGTGAGTTAAAGCCTAAAGGGCTTCCGGTGTTATATATAAAAATGTGTTTCAATCATTCCTCCGTAACCATATAAACTATTGAATTAATTAAAGAAAAACATAATTTTAGGTTCTTGCATTTTACTTAAATTTTGTTATAAATTTCTATATTTTTTTCAATGTTTTGGGTCATTATATGGTGCTTTATATCCCTATAATACTGCTCATGAAGAGATCTAAACTATCAGAAAAAAAATACAGGAATTTATAATAAAACTTGAACAAAAAATAGAAACCTAAAGTTACGTTTTTTCATTAATTAAGATGTAAGACACAACAAAAGATAGAGGTTTCATTTAATGTTTTATTTGTATTTGTGCCCACATCCTTCGCAACCGTTTGATTGAATTGACAATCTCTATAATGAAACGTGAGGTATTCTTTATATGAGTCTAAAAATACTTTTTTTTTCAAATCATTTGTTATTCATTTCTAAAACCAGGAAAACTTCAATAATTATTAGATCATAGAAAATTATTTTCCTGTAATTTATGCTTATTTGTAAAAGTCAAGAAGTTACTTTATAAAACATTAAATCTGAATTGTTTGAATGAGTAGGGCCAAAAAAAGAAAGTGGAGACATTTAACAATGGAATTTATTTTCCTTTAAGGCAAAAGAATAATTCACTCCAAAAAAGAAAAATAAAATATCTTTACATTGTGAAAGTAATTTTCAAAAGCCAACTCATATTCGCAATAAGTGTCTATTGTCAATTCTTTATGATGTTCGCATTGACGCACTAATTGGGGATAACTTTTATCAAAGTATTATTTTACATTTAGACGGCATCCAATTGGAGACCTCTTTATCAAAGTATTATTTACTATGAATTTTAGTTTTTTTTATTACGACATAATGATTATTACATCTGATTAACGTGAAAATTGTTGGCAAAAAAAAAAAACTAACGTGAAAATTAGGTTCTACTCAGTTTTAGTTTTTACTTTGCTATTTGAACTCTAAAGTTCTAAAATTTATTCTTTTAACACATATATCGAAAACATGTTGGAATCAAGTGAATTAATGTGGAAAAGAAATCCCACTTTATATAGAATTTGAGCAAAAAGATTGTTTGAGTATATATGTAGAAATGATTCATATATATATATATATATAGTTTAAATATTTTAGATTTTTAACATATATAATATTCCCTATATCTTAATTCATAAGATACTTTTAGAAGAAATTTGATATTCCAAAATATAAGACAATTTAACAAAAATAATATATCATTAATTATGCTTTTTCAATGTTACTATTCTCTCTCT